CAAAGGATCTGACACCCTCACACAGACGTACATGCTGGCAAAGCACCATAAAAAGAAATAAAAGATTAAAAATCTGGTAACTTTAACTCTTTCTGCTTCTAAACAATGGATAAAAAGTAGGGGTAGGAACGTTATCTGGGGTAGCCTACAACAGAACATTCAACCTCTGTATGTAGTTTAACCATCAGTGTGGTTTACCCTGAACAATTGCGGCCATGTGTTTTCACAATGATGGATGGGCCTGACCTGATGTGGGACTTCCTTCTGTATGCTGTGAATATCATTAGCTAATAAAGCAACTGTCTTGAGCCTGTGTGGGGCAGAATAGAGGTAGGCGGGGAAAACTAAACTGAATGCAGGAAGGAGGCAGAGTCAGGGGGAAGCCATGGAGCCGCCCAGAGACAGACATGCCGAAACTTTGCTGGTAAGCCACTTCCACATGACCATACATAGATTAATGGAGATGGGTTAAATTAATATGTAAGAGTTAGCCAATAAGAAGATAGAGCTAATGGAAGCAGTGATTTAATTAATACAGTTTCTGTGTGGTAATTTTGGGAGTCTGGGCAGCCGGGAAATGAAAAAGTGGCCTCCCTACTACACTGACCTGTGTACAACAGTTTAGAAAGTCTATGACAGGGCTATGAATACACTTTACGTGTACCTGTCCAACTCTAGTGTGCACACTCATACTCAAGAACATATTCAACATCTAGGGAACTATTTTAGGTTTTATACTGTCCCAAAAAGGACAAAACACCTTCCCTCCCACCACCAGAAAGAGTTCCTGCTATGGTCAACACTGTGAAAGGGTTTGGTGAAGACCTTGTTGCTGTGGAATACTAGTTAAGCGTGTTACATTCTTTTATGCTGGGGAACATTTGCTTAGCGATGCAAAGATGTGTTGCATTCTTTTATGTTGCATTTGTTTAACTCTGTGAAGCTGTCTTACTTTGCCTGCCTAAAACACCTGATTGGTCTAATAAAACGATGAACAGCCAATACCTAGGCAGGAGAGAGATAGGCAGGGCTGCCAGACAGACAGAAAAAAACTATCAGGAGAAAAAGAGAAGAAAGAGGAGTGAGAAAAGGAGGAGAGGAGGATGCCAAGGGTCAGCCACCCAGCCAGACATGGAATAAGAAGGAAAGAAAAGGTATACATAAACAGAGAAAGGTAAAAACCCAGAGGCAAAGGTAGATGGGATAATTTAAGAAAAGCTGACTAGCAAGAAGTCAAGCTAAGGCTGGGTATTCATAAGTAAGCATAAGCCTCCTCCAGGTTTTTATTTTGGAGCTGGATGGTGGGCCCCCCAAAAGAGTAAAGAGTAGGAAAAAAAAAGGGCACCTTGTCATGAGTATAAACCACCTTATCGATGAGAAAACCGAGGATGGAGGATTGAGCTGCGCAGAGCTGTGGTTTCAGCAGATGTCTCTGTTTAATCTCCTTTTCAGATTTTTCACAAATTACTATTAAGAGGTATTAGAGAGGTTAAAGAGACGAGATGGGACACTGGACATCAGCTCTTGCTTGAATAGAAGCAAGCACACATTAAAATCACTCCAACCAACATCCTTCAGTTGCTTTTAACAGAGTAGAGAATAGTTTTTTTCAGGTTTCTGAAGGGGCCACATCTTGATAAACATTTAGGCCAAGCTGAAAACTTTAAGGACGTTTTAAGCAAATCCCAGATTATGCTTAACCATGGTGAAGTGTTCTGAGAATGAACCTTGGTTAGAAGGCAAACAGGTGCAGGGGTACAGCAGTAAGAGCTCTAAGGGACAGGCAGGGTCAACCTTATCCTCACTAATGGATACACAATAGAACATAGGGACCAACTGGGTAGATTTTGCCAAGCTTGATTTTCTCATTTTGTATTCAGAAAACAATAGTCATATTGGACAAGCTTTTAAAAATTACACACCTTCTAGAAGACTGTTTTAATTTTACATCCAATTTTCCTGCTACAATATTTTCTTTTTTTGAAAAAAAAGCCTTTTGTGTATTTTATTTTATAAATATTTTATGTGTATGAATGTTTTGCCTACATGTGTGTATGTGCACCACCTGCTTGCCTGGTAAGCACAGAGGCCTGAGGAGGGCATTAGTTCCCCTGGAACCGGAGTTACAGATGGTTGTGAGCCACCATATGGACGCATATGGAAGCTGGGTGCTCTGGAAGATCAGTAAGTGCTCTTAATCACTGAGCCATCTCTCTATCCCTCAGTATCCATTTCTTAGACATATTCCATATACTCTCATAAGGGTGAAATTCTGATTTACAGTAATGCATACATGCCATTACAAAAGACTGCTCCAATAGATTGTGGGTGAGTTTCCTTATGGGCATAATGCCTTCATAGTATATTGTGCCACTTGCTGCCACTTGTGAAATTCACTTTTAAAGTTTTGGTTTCTAAATCAATAATTAGCCCTCTTTTACAAAATTGTAGTTAATGTAGTAAGACATTGCCGTCTGGATTGAAAACACAGGACTTGAGATTTTGGCTTAACTCTATCTACCGAAGTAGTCCCATTGCTAAAATGGATGCTTCGTACATAAGTTTCACACATAAATTCACTTGAAAATTATTAGTTTAAGTCCATTTTCTCCCACCCTGTTAAATTCACTTTTAAAAGTCAAGAGATTCAAAATCAGCCACAGTGATAGACACCTTCATACTGAAGAAGGGGTGGTGTGAACTTCAGGCCAGCTTGGGTATAGGACTTAAACTGGTTTGTTTATTTATTTATTTAGGTTTTGTTTTGTTACGAAACTATGAAGAGTGGGCCGTGAGAAGGTTCCGTGTGTACCTTGCAAGCCTATGGACATGAGCTTGCTCCCTGTGGGGGTGGGGGAGGTGTTATGATTGATTTCAATGTCAATTTGCCACAGATTAGCATCACCCGAGGAAGGGGCCTTACCTGAAGAACTGTTCTGATTGCCTGAGTGGTTTGTGAAGACCGCCCTGTGTATAGCTTCTCCTGGTATTCAGATAAAAAGGGCATGACAGGCTGCGGATTATTCAACTCTAGCTTGTTTAGCTTTCTGTCTTGCTGCTCAGTCAGCCTGCCCTGTAACTTGCTGCTGCCAATTCCTTCGCTGGTATCAGAACCAGCGTTTCAAGCTCTCATTGTGGACTAGGGTCTGGTGGCTTCTGTGCCAGACTGGGACAGCCCAACCCTGTGGACTGAACACCTTTGGGTGTTGGGCCATGCCTCAGTGAGACAGGCATGGTGGAACTGCTCAAACTGCTGAGGCACCCAGCCTCTAGGACCGAGTGAACACTGGGTTCTCAGCTCCCAGGTAGGATTCTGTTGCGTGAATACATGTATGTGTCTGTGTATGTGTCCATCTATGTGCATGTGTCCATCTATGTGCTTGTGTTCGTATATGTGTCCACGTACATGTATGTGTCCTTGTGTGTGTGTGTGTTCGTGTGTGTGTCATTGTACATGTGTGTTCGTGTATGTGTCCATGGATGTATTCATCCCACTGGCTCTCGTCCTCCAGAGAATGCATTACATGACATACATTACATGAAGATGGAAAGACAACCTTACAAAGTTGTTCTCTGACATACACATGCACGTGTGGCACATGTGCATACATAAACACACCACGACTAGTAATAAGTTTTTAAGCAAAAAAGAGATGGGGGCTGGGGGCTGAACATGTAGAGAACCTAGCTTCCCTCTCCGTGCCAATAGCTGCCACCGAAGCCAATGCCGAACTCTGCTGTGTACGTTTCTTGATGTCTGTTACCTCGCTTGGGAATTCTTAGTTCTCACATTTCTTACGTAACTTTCTTAATGCCTTTCATATCATTTTTGAAATAAAATGAACAAGCTAGGACCGCTCCTAGACTGTTTTTCTGGCATAGCTCTATTGTCTGTACGGATGTTGTTCCACAATTTATTCTTCTTCCTTATAATAATTTCTTAAGTTAGATTTTTATGTAAATTTATTTTTCCTGGACTTAAGGGAGAACTTTGCATACAGCAGCTGGGTCTGGAGACTTGGCTCACCTGTTCAGAGCACTCGACGCTCTGTAAGTTCTTTTCCCAGAGCCCACGTGGGGGCTCACACCCCTCTGTAACTCCAGTCCTGAGGGGCCTGAACTCCTCTTCTCACACCAAGGGCACCAGTACACACTCATACAATAAGGTAAGACAATAAGCCAATTTTTCATTTATAGTCTTAGGACTGGCAGGATGGTTGAGGAGGTAAAAGTGCCTTGCTGCTCAGCCTGGTGACCCCAGTTCAATCTCCAGGACTCACATAGTGGAAGGAGAGAATGGATTGTGCAAACTGTCCTCTGACCTCCGTGCATGCGTGCACGCACACGCACAAACACTAACAATGACAGCTTTGGTTCCTGGTTTTGTTTCCCTCCCCACCTTAGTCTGATTCCTTTCTCAGCGCTCTGTCCTACTGAATTTTGACTTTGTTTTCAGTCATTTCTCCTCGGTATAAGATCCCAACCTGGAGTAAATAAAATCGTGGGTCACTTGGCAAATGCCTTGGGACTACAGCAGTCAGGTGCCAGGTGGCCTCCTTGGGGAGCTTCTCTGTTTCCACTCTGTGCTGTGGATTAGCTGCTGGGACCTTGGACAGATTCCAAGATCCCTTTTATTTACTGTAAAATAGGAAAGGGGGAAGAAACTAGAATGGGACAAGGGATTTTCATGGGAAGGGTTGAAACCACTGCTTAACACTATGTTTTTTACAAAACAATCTTTATTTTACATTCCAATCCCAGTTCCCTCTCCCTTTCCCACCCCAACTCCCCATCTACTCCTCTGAAAGGGTGAGGCCCCCCATAGGGAGTCAACAAAGTCTGTTACATCACACTGAGGCAGGATCAAGGCCCTCCACCCTATATCTAGGTTGAGCAAGGTATCCCTCCATAGGAAATGGGCTCCAGAAAGCCAGGTCATGCACTAGGGATAATTCCGGTCCCACTACCAGTGGCCCCACCGACTGTCCAAGCCACACAACTGTCACCCACATTCAGAGGGCCTAGTTCAGTTCTATGCAGGTTCCCCAGCTGTCAGTCCAGAGCCCATTAGCTCGGGTCAGCTATCTCTGTGGGTTTCCTCATGATGGTCTTGTCCTTTAATTCACAGTATCTCTCCTCTGTCTTTGATTGGACTCCGGGAGCTCAGCCCAGTGCTTAGCTGAGCATCTGCTTCCATCACTTCCGGATGACGGTTCTACGATGACAGCAAAGGTAGTCATCAGTCTGACTGCAAGGGAAGGGCACCGTCTCCACTACTGCTTAGATTCTTAGCTGGGGTCATTCTTGTGGATTCCTGGGAATTTCCTTAGTGCCAGGTTTCTTGCTAACCCCCAAATGGCTCCCTCTATCATCAAGAAATCTCTTTCCTTGCTCTCCCTCTCTGTCCTTCCCCCAGCTCAGTCATCCCATTCCCTCATGTTCTCCTCCCCCCGTCTCCCCTCCCATCCTCCCTCCTGCCCCCACCCTCCCAGTTTACTTGGGAGATCTTGTCTATTTCCCCTTCCCAGGAGAATCCACATGTCTGTCTTAGGGTCCTCCTTGTTTCTTAGCTTCTCTGGGATTGTGGGCTGTAAGCTTGTTATCCTTTGCCTTATGTCTAATATCCACTTATGAGCGAGTATACATTGTACATCCACTTTGGAAATCAGTATGGCAGTTTTTCAGAACACTGGGAATCAATCTACCTCAAGTTCTAGCAATACCACTCTTGGGCAGATACCCAAAGGATGCACAGTCATACAACAAGGGCATTTGCTTAACTATGTTCCTAGCAGCATTATTTGTAATAGCCAGAACCTGGAAACAATCTAGATGCCCCTCAACCAAAGACTGGCTAAAGAAAATGTGGTAGTTACACAATGGAGTACTATTGTGTAAAAAACAATGACATCATGAAATTTGCAGGCAAATGGATGGAACTAGAAAAAAATCATTGTGAGTGAGGTAACCCCGATCCAGAAACACTATTTCTTAGAGACTAATACGTAAGATGTCCAGCTGCTCCTTTCTTATTAGCGCACCTTGAAGTTGTGCAAGCCCAGGTCAGTGGGGTTTAATGCCGGCTCCCCTTGATGCCTTAGGAGCCCATGTATTAGCAATTAAAGTTTTAATCTTGTCTATCAACAACTCAACTCTGCTTTGGTTCTTAATAAAAGATCCAAGAGAAAAGGTGGCTGCTTAGTGTCATCCTTCTAAGTACACAGATGCCGTCATTTCTAGGGCTGAGTAGAAAGGGTATTTCTCCAAAATGTTCACTTTCCTTTTCTGAGTGAGTCAGGGCTACCTTCATTTGCACATAGTCAAGTACAATTCCCCCATTAGGAAAGGCTCTCGAAAGATAAGTCCAAGGCGTTTATACACGATTTTGGCTGGGCATTAGAATGCATACCTGTGCTCAAGAGGTAATAGCAGAGGGATCAAGGCCAGCCTCAACTACATAGTCACTTGGGTCCAGCTTGGGCTATGTGAAAGCCTGTCTAAATAAACAAAGGTGTTTCAGTTCTGCCCTGCTCCTTTGATGCCATGTTATTGCGTTTCCATAAACTTCAGCTGTGTTTAAAAAAAAAGAATAAATAAAAATTAGCAAATAAATGAACATAACAGATTTCTGGAATTTTTATTTTCTATAGTGTAATCTACCATTACAAATTTCTATTATCTGTAGTTAGACGCCACTTCTTTAACCTGTTGGGTCTTATTTTTTCCTTTAAGAAAAACTTGTTTAGTTTTAGACGTGTAAATACAAAAACAAGCAACTCAAATGAACAAAATCTAACCAAGCCAGAGTGTGGAATGTCTGTTACCAAAGTATCTTTTTACACCATTCCATGACTTATTTTTTTTTAAAAAAATATATATATAGTTGGTTTGTTTTGTTTTTTACCTCTCTGGGGGCTCGCCACCCAGCTCCCAAATACATACATGAAGACTTATTCTTACTTACAAATGCCCGGACTTAGCTTGGCTTATTTCTAGCCAGCTTTTCCCATCCACCTTCTCTCTAGGTTTTTACCTTTCTCTATTGCATATGTCTTTTCTCTTACTCCATGGGTGACTGTGTGACTGGCCCCTGGCATCCTCCTCTGCTTTGCTTTTTCTCCTCTTTCTTTGCTCTTCTCTCAAGCTTAGATTTCTCCCCTCTTTATCCTCTCTGCCTGGCAGCCCTGCCTACCCTTTCTCCTGCCTTGCTATTGGCTGTTCAGTTCTTTATTAGACCAATCAGGTGTTTTAGACAGGCACAGTAACACAGCTTCACAGAGTTAAACAAAAGCCACATAAAAGAACGCAACACATCTTTGCATCATTAAATAAACGTTGCACAGCATAAACGAACATCACACATCTTAAACTAATATTTTACAACAATATGACTCAAAAGGAGAGAAAGGCGAAAACCTTTGACCAATTTTTATTTCACCTTTGTTCAAAGAACTGGGGGAAATGATAAAATTGAAATAATGTACCTACAAAACAATTTGTATCTTTTTCCTATGATTATGAGTTGAAGCATTTGCAGTAAATTATCCCTGAGAAAAGAGGCAGCTCATTAAAGATGTACACAATTCACTCTCAGAGTTCAGCGCAAGTGAGGATGTAAAAGCTGACTGTGAAGACGTCAAGGTCTGGGGATCCTGGTGGGCAGTGCAGGGAACTGTGTACCGTTCTTCTACAACTCTGAGTGGTGCAAAGCTAGAACTCAATAACTGGGTGTTAAGAGCAGAAGAAATTTGGATCTGGTGACACCACTTGTAACCTAGCACTGGGAGGTGGGGGCAAGAAGCTCAGGAGTTCAAGGTCACCTGCATACTGAGATGAAGGCTACCCTGATCCCAAATATATCACACACATGGAGGCTTATTATTACTTATGAATGCCTGGCCTCAGTTTGCCCTGTTTCTGGTCAGCTTGTCTTAAACTATTCTGACTACCTTTTGCCTCTGGGCTTTTATCTTTCTCTATACCTTTCTTTACTTCTTTCTCCATGGCTTGCTGTGTGTAGCGAGGTGGCTGGCCTCTGATGTCCTCCTCTCTTTGTTCTCCTCCTCCCAGATGGTCTTTGATTTATACTCTCTGCCTGCCAGCCCTGTCTATCCTTGCTCCCGCCTCGCTATTGGCTGTTCACTTCTTTATTAGACAATCAGGTATTTTAGACGGGCACGGTAACACAGCTTCACAGAGTTAAACAAATGCAGCGTAAACAAAGTCACACACCTGAAAACAACTAGAGGAGGCAGTAAAAGAGGCACAGGGTGAAGCTGAGTTACTGTGGCCAGTTAGCGTGCAGGGCAACAATCATGATTGTGCAGTGCTGCTGCAACTGGAGTGGTCTAACCTTGTGTAATCTTTCAGAAGGACAATCCGGTTGTATGTTTCACAGTCTAAAACAGCCCTATCCTTTGACTCAGCAAGTTCTAGAGATTTACCCCAGGGAGTTAGTGAGGCAAGTACTCAACACACACTAAAGTGTGCTTGCTCTATGTCATAACAAATTACCACGGGAGTGCCAGTAGGAGACTGCTGGGTTGATTAAACAAATTATGGCTTATCCATACAACAGAGCATTCTTTGGCCACTGCAAACTATGAAATACACTGATAGGAAGAAATGTCACAAAATGAAAACACAGATTGCAAAATGCTACACAAGATGATCCAATTTACATTTACAGTGCTTATTTACATTTAAAATAGAAACACTATATAGATGTTTCCTTTAAAAATTGAAACAGTGCGTGGAAAAAAGTTGTGATAATTTCAAAAGATTATACACTACACCAGGCCAGGCAGACAAGGCAATTCGCAAGAAGCAGTACGAAATGAAGACGTGGAGCCCTTGTTCAAAAACTACGAATTTCATGATGGTGACAGTAAACATTAAACACTAAACTAAGCATGGGCTTTACATAACTGTATCGGCCACACATGCATAAAGCCAACCCAGAGCATACACACAGATTCATGCTATGCTGCATTCCATATTATTATATATCACGCTATACAGCACCCAATAAGATATACATTATAGTAAGTGATTGCATATGGGGTGTGTCAGAATACATTAATCTCCTTCTGTTGTCTTATTTTTAGGGATTGTGACAAAGGCTTTATATTTTGTAATATGGGAAATACACGGTCTATTTAAATTGTTCCTACAAAAAATGTAACAAATGGGGTGGTGGTGAAATTAGCCCTCTGCCAGTGTGCCCTCTGATCACTTCATAGGAATGCCTGCAAGAGAACGGCAGGAATGAAGGAGTCCGAGATGGGTGACTCTTCAAAGAGCTGGGTTTGGTAATCCCAACATTTCAGATGCCGAGACAGGAGGATCATGAATCTGGGCTGTGGTGAGTTCCAGAGCAACCTGGGCTACAGTGTGAGGCTATCTCAAAAACAAAACCAAATGAAACAAAACAAGGAAAAGAGGTCTGGGTATACAGGCCATTGACAGTGCTTATCTAGCATGGATAAAAGCCCTAGGGTCAATCTCCAACACCACTGAAAGCGCGTTCTTATAACCCCACAGGGAATCTTTACACTCAAAAGTGTTAAAACGGCAAATTTAAATACCACGTGCGCCGCCGCCCCCCTCCCCCGCTCTCACACTATAGCCTTGGTTGACCTGGGATCCACTATATAGATCTGGCTGATCTTGAACTCACAAAGACCTGCCTGTATTTATCTGCCTTCCAGGTGCTTTGATTGAAGGTATAGATTTCCTCTGATACTTCTGTTTCTAGGTAGAACTGGAACCTGGGGAGTCTAATTTGGGATCAGTATAGCAGGCATACAGAGAACACCAAGGTATGAACAGACAGTTCTCGAGGCTGTAGTCAGAAGACAGAAGTACCAGACATTCTCATAGTTATTGGTTCTAGATAAGGTGGTCTAACACTTCCTAGGTTTTGTATTTCCGGTTGCACGGTGAGCAACCTTCGGCAGGTCCTAATGAGTGTTAGAATAAGTGTGTGAGTGAAAGGATGGAGTTTTCCAGCACTTAATAGTGTGATGGAGTTAGGAAAAAAATCAAAAGATTCAACAAAAATTCTTCTGAAGTCTATCGCAGGTGATCTGCAGGGACCAAGCTTATCCGGAACATCAGGAGCCCTTTGACTCTTGAAACATCTGAAGAATCCATGGAAACTCCATTGGAGAAGGTCTCCAAGGGACTTCGGGGTTTTGTGTAACATGGTGACACACTAAAAATAGAGTGCCGGTAAATCCTATGAGGTGTGTATTTCAAGAATAATTTATGTGCCTTGAAAGTGTTCAGTCTTGTGTTGTTTTTAATTTTTCTTTGACAATTATACGTGTATACAGAGTGCCATATCCACATGTAGTCCATGTTCATAGGGACAAAAACAAGCAAACACCTTACACTAACGTCATACTATGTGGGATTATCCAAGGCAGCAACCCGCTTCAGGACACCAGTCTCTCTTCACTGAGGCTACTGAAGTCTCCCATTCTCGTGAAAACCTTTCCCAGGCAACTGGCTGCTTTTCTGCTGTTCTATTTCAAAATAGAATGTATAATGCAAGTGCAAGACATCTCTTTAGATAGCAGGCTGTCACATTCACAACACACACACACACACAATAGGGGGGCAGTGACAAAGGACAGAGACAGACAGTTAACACATCCATCCTTTTCATTTCCACAGATTCTTAACTGTTTTTCCTTAAGAATTATAACAACATTTTCTTTTAAAAGACAAAAACATAACAACAACAAAACAAACAAGCAAACAACAACAAACCACGTTCTTTCTCCCTGTGTAGCCCTGCCTGAAACACAGTATGGAAACCAGGCCAGACTGAAACTCATAGAAATCCACCTGCTGCTGCCTTCCAGCACTAGGATTAAAGCCGTGTACCACTATGTCTGGCCATGACAATTTCTTTTAAACGATTATATCAAGCACACAAGTGTTTGGCAAGCATCGTGTGTGTGTGTGTGTGTGTGTGTGAGAGAGAGAGAGAGAGAGAGAGAGACAGAGACAGAGACAGAGACAGAGACTGTGAATGGAACTTAGGGATTCATATTTGCTGGACAAGTACTTTCTACCGAGCTGTCTCCTGCCATTTCTTATTTCATTTTCCATTTTAAGACATGGTCCCCCAAAGTTACCCAGGATGGCCTTGAACTTTCCATTCTCTTGCCTCAGTCCTCCCAAATACCTGCAATTACAAATCTGTCCCCTGGCCTGGCTGTAAGAATCATTTTCCAGCATAGCTCATATATCCTCTGAAGATGGAATGGGCTGTGACTCAAGATATCCTGAGGTTGAAGAACCCATCTGAAGGGAGTGCTGATCTCAAAGTTCAGGCACAAATCAGGAGGACAAGCTAGGGGTATCACAGCTGTGTTCTTCTTCTAACCATCATGAACACGAAACAGCCTTACTGACCTCAACAGAAAGAACAGGAGGTTAGCACTGGGAATGGAGAGGCAGCAGAATAGGGGAATACTAGCTCATTAATACACTGCTATAAATTAAGTGTAAGAATGGAGAGAATGGGATAAAGAACCACAGACATTTAATGTTTTCAGTTAAAGAAGCAGAGTGTCACATTTAGTGGAACTGATGAAGGATTATGAGTTAACAGCACTTTGGGATTTTCCTTCACCGATTTGATCAAACAGGAATTTCCCTGAGCAGGGCAACTAACATAGAGGTGCATTTCTATCTTGTTTATTGGTGGGACAGAGGTTAGAAAGCTAAGTCCAGCTGGGCGGTGGTGGCGAACGCCTTTAATCACAGCACTTGGGAGGCAGAGGCAGGCGGATCTCTGTGAGTTCGAGGCCAGCCTGGTCTACAAGTGCTAGCTGCAGGACAGGCTCCAAAGCCACAGAGAAATCCTGTCTCGAAAAACCAAAAAAAAAAAAAAAAAAAAAAAAAAAAAAAAAAAAAAAAACAAACAAAAAAAAAAAAAAGCAGAAGATGCTATTCCTGAATAAACATTCAGGGAAGGTCCTGAGAACCAGACTCAAAGGAGGGAAACACAATGGCTGGCAAATGGGTTGGGATTCAGGAGCGAAGGAACAAGTCATGAAGATACAACCGCCTGACTCTTTGGGAACTGACTTGAGAACTGAGCAGGCCCGAGCCTTCAAAGAGGGAGAATAGAAGTCGGTGCCACAGCGCACAAGATGTGAACTAACAGCAAGAAGAGCAAACTGCACTTAAATATGTCTGTGCAGCCAATCCTCGTGAAGAAGATTCAAAGAATGCCGTTGGCGGAAACGCGAGAGAAAAACTAGACCCAGAAAAGAGTCCAGAAAAATACAACATAAATCTATTCGGCAATACCAAACTGGTTTTTACTAACTTGGAGGCTTTCAGTCCTTGAAACACTAGTTATTTGGCTACATTTCTTAGTTAGAGCTATGGTTAGAACCATGCCGTACATTATTTTGCAGGACACATGACCCATCACCCGTGATGTGTAACCTTTATTTTTTTCCTTTCCTTAATGTTGACACAATCTTAAAATTGCTTGTCATGCCAAGCTTGGCAGATCCAGTAGAGCTCACCGTCATCCCGGGGAGCAGAACATCTGCTTTGCTTCAGGAGCTCAGACTTTCTAAAACAGACAGCCTGAGGAAGGGGCCACCAACGTGGCTTTTATGTGTCCCACGTGATCTTGACGTCACTGAGGGTTGAGCAGCTTTGCCTCATACACTTGAGAGCTGGACTTGAGAGGTCCAGCCGAGGTCTGTGTGCGATGCCAGGGAGACAAAGAGCTCCCTACCAAGAGTGTGGTGCTTAGAGCGAGGCAGCCGCAGAATCAAACTAGTGCTCCAGCCGCTGCTTAGTTGTGTGAGGCCCACAGCAGGTTACTTAATCACACCAAACCTTAGGCTTCCCATACAGGAAATGGAAATAATATCTCCCTTGAAAATGCACTATGAATACTCACCTTCGAGTCCTTCCCAGGGGGCTCTGGTGTCAGGAGCAGTTCAAATACCTGCTCTAACATTCACTGTGTGACTTAAATTGATGACAATACTTCTCTATGGTCCAATTTTCTAATTCGTAAAGTGGATATGATTACTGCATAGGATCATTGTAGGAACTCAATGCATTTATACAGCTAGATACGGTGACTCACTCCCACAGTCTAAGCACCAGAGAGGAGGAGGCAGGAGAATTAGGAACTTAAGGTTATTCTTGTCTATACAGCAAGTCAGAGGCCAGCTTAAATCTAACCTGAGAGACCCTGAAACAACTGATGATTAGAAGGCTGCCTTGGCCAGGCATGGTGATATGGCTGTAATCCTAGCACCCAGGAGGCTGAAAGAGAAGGATTACAAATACAGGCAAACCTTAGCTACACAGAAATACCTTGTCTCAAAAAAGACTGTCACATAGTGCTGGATAAGTGCTATAAGAGTAAACATACAAATAACAATAATAAAATACCTCACGTAAATAAAATACCCAGATCAAGATTGTAGCAGCTCAATATCTGGTAACATTATTATTGTGATTATAGAAACCTTAAATTGTTTACAATATACTCTTTTCTATATCCTAAGTAGCCTCATGAATTTTACCAAAATTAACTACCCTTGAAAAAGAGATTTATTATTATTGAATGTGTATGATTGTTTGCCTGTGTGTATGTGTGTATGTATATATGTGCACTACATGTATGCAATGCTCTTGGAGGTCAGAGAGTGTTAGATCTTCTGGAGATGGAGTTACAGGAGACAGTGAGTCATCTAACCTCAGGGCTGGATTCCCAGCATGCGCCACCATACCTGACTTACTTATATTTTAAAATATACTAGTGTCCCAGCATGCAAATATAATGTCACTTCAACTAAATGGATCTTCAGAGAATAAAAATATACAAGGGAGAGGGTCTTCAAGCATGAGGACTTGAGGTGGCCCCGAGCAAAGCCAGTTCAGGTGTGCATGCCTAGAATCCCAGCGTTGGGAGGTGGAGGCAGGAAGGCTGAGGTGACAAGCCAGCGTATCCCAGTGAGTTTCTGGTTCAGTAAGAAACCCTGTCTCAGGGCTGTGAGGTAGAGGAATAACGATGTAGGGCAGCCTTCTTTGGCCTCATTGCACAAAGATGTGCATACCCAAATACGTTCGTGTACCACACAGACTCCAACACACACATAATGAACTTAATCTGAATTTTAAGATATGAATTCAATATACATTTCAAGGTAGCCTTCAGTGTGAATTACTTCCAAAGAGATAGTTTGCCACACCCAGAAGAAAGTAGACAAAAATATCAAAAACTTACTTGGAAGGCATTACTCTGTCTGAAGGGTTTTGTTTTGACCATTCTTCCTCCCATCACAATCTTGAAGTGACTCCTATAGCCCCTCATCCCCAAGAGAACTCAATCCTTCGTACTGTCCAAACCCATTGCCATTATATTATACCTTTAAAAAACCCTCTGATTTAAAAGGTGTTTATGAAATATTTGCATGTTAAATATTCATTTCTGCTTGTGGTTCTGCCCAAACAAACTATACCAGAAAGAATCAGAAGCCGAAAGTTCCCAAAGGGTTTTGCAATAGGGTCTCTTGCCAAGCTCCAACACATCCAGCTTCCCCATTCTTTACTTCTATCTCTGAACTGTCACTGCCTCACAAAACCGCACAAATTTGAGGAACTATTAACTGATAAATAGTCACACACACACACCGTTTGTTTTAGGCAGGGTATCACGGTGTAGCTCAGGTTGATCTCAAACTCAAGAGACTCACCTGCCTCTGCCTCCCAAGTGCTGGGTTTAAGGTACTGACCACCACAGTGGGCTTAAATATAAACTTGAAAACATTTCCTCACTCTCTTTTCTGAACCTAGAGCCTCCAGCATGCTTAGCCTCTGCCAATGAATATCTCGGTACTTTTTATCTTGAGATGCATCAGCGAGCCGCGTCACTAAACGACCCGGAGTGGCTTTCTCTAGTTCAGGCAGGACTTGCACTCGGATCCTCCTACTTCAGCTGCAACAGCCGAGATTACAAACTGCGTCCCTAGCTGGACCTCTTCTGAAAAATCTGAGAGGCTCCTTTTATATCTTGTTTTACTTCCGCCTTTGGTTACAATGTTCCTGATTAAGATGGTATTTTTGGGATTAACTTTCTTAATCAAGAATCACAATGTTGCATTTGCTATGTCAAATTCTCTATACATTAATAGTTTGTGACCAAGCAGCTTAACTTTCCAAGACTAAACACCCAAAAAAGAGATATCACAGAAGTATCAAGTCTTCACAAGTTTCTACCTGTTGCGGGCACTTGGTCAGAGGCCCCTTTCCTTTCCTTCCTCTGTCCCTCCAGTTTTCAGAATGCACGTCACCCCAGTCAATCCTAGTCCCGACGCCCCGGCCCTGGGACGCCCCAGAACAGGGCTTAGGGTTTGTTTGGGAGCCCGCGTGGAGCTTGGACACACCTCTTTGCTTTCCAAAGTGAATGAAACGCTCAAGTAACACCGGAGGAGAAAAAGAACGGAGTCCAGAATCCTAACATCCAAGGCCACCCCGACCACCGAACCTCCACAAACGGGACGGTTCGACCCTGGCGACCCCGCCCCCTGCCGGCCCCGCCTCTCTCCGGCTTCCTCCGGTTTCTCCCTCCGCGCGAGGCTCCTCCCCGCCCCCC